ACATATATTATAAATATTCTGGTACACCGAGGCGTAGAGAGCTTGCGTGCTGTGTCTTTTTTTTTTTCCTTCACGGATTATTTTATATATATATTGTGTGTGTGTTTGTGTGCGTGTGTTTTCACTCGGGCTTGTAATTGTGTGGGACTTTCTTGGTGCCCATTTTCAACGTTGAGAGAAATACATCAGGGAGAACGATGACAAATATGGAGACGACGGCATCTGCTTTCAGCACGGCTTCACCAATACATTTGGACTGCCCAGCTGCTTGTCCATTTGGCCATGGCGCAAACAACGGTGACAACAGCAGAACAGACAGCCATGATGACAGTATGCATCGTGGGTCAAGCTTCCCGCCGGTTATTTCACATAATTTGTGTGATGAACTGGGAAAATGCTTCATGCAGCCGCCTATTGCTCTTCTTTCGCGTAGACGGTACCAGGACCCTGCGGTAATGCGTCTGCATGCTGCTTTGGCTTTTAGAGAGATGCGGAGTTCCGCCAATGAAAGTCCGGAACCACAAGTCTCTTCTTCGTGGACAACAAACTCAGCAGCATCGCCAAAAAACAGCCTTTCCATTGGGTATGACGATGATGCAATGTCTTCTTTTCTCTCCACGCCAGCTAACGGCTCACCAATTAAATTTTTCCGACGTGCAAAATCTTTTGTATTTCCCTCGGTACGGTCTTCGGCCTCGTTGGCTTCGGGAGACGAGGTTAATCATGTTTCATCCGTGGTGGAAACCACAACGAAATTGAAAAACTGCCCTTTTATGAACTGCTACTGGAATTCACAGCAGCAGCGGCAGCAGCAGGGTATAGAGGACGGACAGGAAGGATTGATTGAAACGGAGAAACAAGAGGAAACAATTGAAGGCGTGCAGTCTCCCTGTTTTGTTTTTGATGCCATGGCAGATCCAAGCCAAGGTGCCGAGAGGGGTATGAGCGACAGTGACGTTAAGTTCCGTGGTGTCCCCACGGATTCTTCTGCGGATATTGTTGCTGCTTGGGAAATGGACGACAGAGAACGAAAAAGCCATGACGTAGACGATGATGCTGCTTTATCACACCACGAGGATGACGAAGTCGTGGGCGTAACGGCGGAGGGAAATTTTATCTACCGACGGGACATTGACGCAGAAGGGAGTCGTTTTGGTCGAGGAAACGTTCAAAATCATCAAGATGACTGTCCTTTCCTGGATGAGTGTCGCGATGCCGATACCTTCCCTGCGTTCATCCCTACAGCCCCTTTTTGTACACCGGAGAGGAATATATTTGCCACAGTTCTCAGCGACAGGGCAGCGGTTCCAAACTCACACGAAGAAAGGATTGGTGTCTGGAAAAACGCAGCCGCCGCGTCAACCACAGCGTCGTTAACAAACGGCGCGGCATTTCCCCGAGGGGGTTCTATTGGAAGAAGCCGTCAGAAAAAAACCCCTGAATGGACCCCGAATGATGCGGAGTGGTGTTCTCTCCTCTTACGTTACCGTGTCTGCGAAAACGCCGATGAGACGGAGTACAAGGAACTGATAAGTGCAGTGAATAAATGGCACGAGGTGCGACTTCGCTACCCCATGGAAGCATTAGAGCGACGTTTGCGGGAAGGAGAAAGTTACGACAGGCCACCGTTTGTTCTCCGCTGGTAATTTGTTGGGGACGAGGCGGAGAACGGAGTCAGAAAACACGGACATAGAAGGGACAGAAGGAGAAGAAAAAATAAAAAAAAATAAAATAAAATGTGGCTTGAAAGGCAAAAGAGGGGGAAGGGAGGGGAAAGAAAGTGGGGATCATCAGAACAAAATACTCAACCATCCGGAGTGGTGGAAGGGTGATCTCCAGGACGTTTAGATTTTCGTTTGTCCACTGACGGGAAACGCGGGGGAGGAGGCGAGGTATTCCTGTGTGGCTATTATTTTTCTGTTAACTTTTCCCGCTCTGCAGTGTCACCCACTCCCACTCCCACTCTCTTTTTCTTTTTTTTTGGTTTAATATTATTATTTTTTTTTTTACGCGCTACGCATTCTTTTGCTTACAAATTTCCCAACCGCCTCTATGGACCTCCTTTTGGATGGATGGATGGATCGGTTTTTTTTTTTTTTTTACTTCTCTCTCTGTGTGTGTGTGTGTTTTATTTGTTTGTATGTGAGGATTGTTTGTTTTTTCTTTTTTTTATTATTATTTTCTTCTTACCGGGTGCGTGATTTGCCGTGGTGAGGCCCCATCCATTTTTGCTTTGAGGAAAGGGGGGAGGTTGTTTTTGCGTGGATGCGGTGCGCTCTTCTCGATTATTATTTTTTTTGAGTTTCTAATTCTCATATGACCGAAACGTATATGCGTGCAGAGAAGGGGTTTATTTGTGAAAGAGAAGAAGACACAGACAGACAGACAGACAGAGAGAGAGACAGAGAGAGAGAGAAAAAAGAGAGGAAACACAAATGAATTAGAATTGTACGCATATACAAAAGAGAATTTATTGCATTTACATACTTAAATAGGGGAGGGATGGTAGGCCCACGCCTCCTCTTCTTTTCTTTTTTTATTATTATTATTATTTTTGTTGTTGTTTATTTGCCATTCCTTGTTCAGGTAAACATCATGTCTGTGCGCGTGAACACGTACCTACATCTACATATATTTATATGTTTATATTTATTTATATGGACGCGTGCGTTATTCGGTGCATGCCTGATTGCATACATACGCAGACTTTGGGTGCGCGCTGTTTCATAATGGGGAGAATGGTTTTTTCCTTTTTTTTTAAGACACTGCAGTCAATGGGCGTGGGTGTTCATGCACACGCATCTCTAGAATACCCACCTTAAAGGGAAGAAGAAGAAAAAAAAAAAAAACTGATTGTTTGTTTGTTTTTTGGCGTGTGGGGTATTTTTTTTTTTTGTGTGTGTGTGTGTTTGCGCCCTCTTTTTTTTTTTTTGTTGTTGTACCAGGAGAAAGAGTTATGAGGAGGAGGTTTCTGACGCCTCGTGTTTGATGTACCCGAACCAGAGAAATACGGAGAAGAAACGTATGATGAGTATTTGTTCTACACGGAGAGATAGACTGAAAGAGAAAAGAAATAAATTGACATAAAAAAGTCTTTAGGGTTTTTTTTTGTGCCCATTTCTATTAATTATGGTTTCCTTTGCTTTCACATCTTTCTTTTTTTTGTGTGTGTGTGTTTTTCTTGTTGTTGTATTACGCCCCAAGCTTTTAACGGTTCACCGCGGCACGACAGGTGGCTACCATCGACTCTGTGCACACTGCGCCGTCCTCAACGAGGAGCAACAGAAATATGCGCAGGTGTGTCACTCCCACAGTCTCCAGCCGGTGCTATTCGAGCCCGGTATTTACCCAACATGGTGAGATGTTTGTTTGTTTTCCTGTTTTATTTTTAAATATTTAACGGGGCGTTTTTAATTATTTATTTTTTTTTTTTTTTTTTGGTTTGTTGTGTGTTTGCGCTTGGCGCGTGTGTTATTTTTTATGGATGCGAAGAAAAGGTATGATTTTTGGTTTCCGTTCATATCTTTTTTTTTTCCTTGTGGCTTCCGCAGCTGTTGTTTGTGAGTGAACGGCGGACATTACATGCTTTGGCTGGGAGTTTTTGCGTGCTTGTCATGCTGTGCGCCTTTTTTTTTTTTTTTGTGTGTGTGTGGGCGTTCCGTTGCGCGGGTTTTTTTTGTGGAAATGTTTACGCCTGCGGAACTCCGCCATTCCCACCGCTTCCAATTGCATGTCTGCTCTAAGAGGAAGCTGGTTTCTATACATGTATTATATTATATGTATGGCTTTTTTTGGGGGGGGGGTTTCTTTATTTGTTTGTCTGCATTGGTTTCTTGCCGTGTGAGACGTCCCATTCGTCATTGAGTATCCAGCAGAAGAGCACGAGCCCTTTTTTTTTTTTTCAGTGCCCAGCTGGCGTGACTGCTCCAAACATCCGTTCAAGCCGGAAACCAATTACTTTAGAATGGCACGGGTCCTCTGACTCTCGCGTAAAATTGTGACAGCGGTGGTGGCGTTGGAGACGAGCGTATCGTGCAGGATTAGAAGTGTACTGGAGAAGATGAGGGGAAATATATTTATGTTTGTTCATTTGTTTACACAGAAATGAGGGATTCAGGGACAATTCCCTGCCATTACCACGTGAGGTGAAGAGTGGTGGTTTATGCTTCAATGGAAATGATAACACGGCGGCATTAAAGCCAAGAGGTGAAAAAGATTCCAAGCAACTTTTTTTTATTCTTTCTTTCTTCTCACACCCTTTTTTCCTTCACTTATTACAATTTTTATTATTTTACATTTCCGCTCTGTGGGATTCTCACAAATAACCGCCCTTTCTTCCTTCCTTTCGTTTTTTTTTTTTTTTTGTTGTTGTTGTAATTATAGAAATTGGCAAAATGATGATCTTTCTCTCTGTATGTGTGTATTTTTTTTTTTTTCTCTCCTTTGTTTTTGGTTTGTTGTTTGTTTACTTCTCTTTAAAAAAAAAAAAGAAAGAAAAAAAAACAGAGCGGGTGGATATTTGTGTTCTTTTCTCTTTTGTTTTTGTTAATTTTTTTGTATCATGCGGCATAGATGACGGAAGGAATAAAGAATGGCCATTCAAATTATTATTTATTTATTTATTTATTTATTTTTTGTCTCTGTGTGTTGATGTTTGGTTTAAATTTTTATATTCTTCCTTTTTTGATTGAAGTGCAGCCGTGTGGTACTCTTCTTTGCGTGGACATCTGAGGGGTGGGGGACTTCTGCAGCTGTACAGTCGGTTCTTTTGTTGTTTGCATGGACGCACTCGTAGAGATGTGCCCGACATCAAATACAACACGCACGGATGTATTCACAGCAATGCGTCCCGTGTGTGCGCATCAGGCGGACACGGAGGGGTGGATAGAAGATGAAAGAGAGAATCAAGTGATGACGGAGCTCTCAGGGGGGAGGGGAGAAGTAAAGAGAGGGAGACACGGCAAGTGGTGCGTGTGTGTGGCCTCTTTCATATATACATATATATGTGTTGCCTGCATGCGCACGTTTACATTTGAAGAAAAGAAGAAAAAAAGGATAAAAGGGCGTCGTTTTTTTTTTTTCTTGATGTTTTTTCAGTTCCTTTTTTTGTTTGTTTGTTTGTGTTTGTAAAACGTGTCTTTGCACTTTGGTGTTTGATACTTTGCAATAGAAGATGTATTTATTTATTTAGTTATTTATTTTCTCTCTTTTTGCACTTCTTCTTTTGTTTTTGTTGTTGTGGGCTCACTGTGTGATAAATCCTTTTATTTTTTTTTTCTCTCGGGTGCGTGAGTGGTGTGATCGACGACTCCATCGATGTCACACTGTTGTTTAAAAGTTAGAGGGAGAAAACAGTGGATGGGGCGGAGACGCGGCAGGGAGAGAGAGGGACGAAGGAGGAGGAGGAGGGCACGAAAAGCAAATTTGTCTTTTGCAGTTGAACACTTCTTTCCCCCCAAACTTCTCTCTTTTTTACATACAAATTTCAATGGCACCTGCTCCTGCTGATAGATATTTACCCACAGAGACCGGCACATTTACCGCCGTATGCTTCGTGTTTGTTTCCTTTTTTTATTTTTTATTTATTTATTTATTTGGACTCTTTTCCCCACACCCACACACACAGAAATATATATCTCCCACCCCACCCCACCCCACCATCACTCTTTTTTGTGTGTTTCTTTGTTCTTGTGAATGGAATTTGTGAATTGGCGTAATTGACGTACTTGTGTGTGTGTGTGTGTGTGTGTACCGTCTTTTCCCAGCATTGGTCTCACGACGGCACGGTCCGGTTTTTCTCTTTTTTTTCTGGTGGGGGAGGGATGGCGAGGACAGAATGAAGAGGTGGGAGCCACTTTCCAACATCCACCCACGGGCGCCAATGGAATTGTTTTTGGGGCTGTTGGTGGACTGAAGTGTTTCCTTCGCAAGAGCATAAAGACAGTGCTGAGGTGTACGCAGCAGGGAGCCGATGTGCTTGAGGTGTTGTCGTTGTCGTTGTCTTTTTTTTTTCTTGTTTGTTTGTTCGACTTTTTTCGATTCTTTTACCTTTTTCTGTCCGTTGCTGGTGTGGAAGGGGGGGAAGGAGGGCACATGTGGAAGGGGAACTGAGAAGGGAAAAGGAGCGTTGCGAAACGAACAGAAGGAAAGGGGAAATGGTATGGGAACCTCCTTATAAACTGCATACATGCGTGTGGATTATTATTTATTTATTTATTATTATTATTATTTTTCAGGTGTGGAGCAATTGGATCGCAGCCCGCAATTTATAGAGGGGGAGTGGATGACTCCTTGGCGTTTCTCCTTTTTTTCTTTTCTCTCTGTTTTTGTTTGTTTGAAGTTTTATTGTGTGTTTCATTTCTGTTTTTTTTTTTTTTTTTAGTTGCTGAGGGGAGAGAGGAAAACGCAAGGAGCTTCTATTTTGCCGGGTGACATTCCTCCCTCCAGCTTCTTTTATTTTAGAAATGAGGCACCCCAGACGCCACAACATGTCGCCGTGTTTGTTTCTTTTTTTAGAACAGCTGCTCGTCCTGTTATTTTTCTGTCAATTGGGAAATGCGGAGCAGCTGCCGGAGTGTCGTGACTTGGGACTGTTCCGCCCAACTGCGCACTATGCGAATTCACCCACAACGACACCATTGGAGGTGGTAGGTGGTGACGCCAACGTCACATGTCTGCTTCGCCCTGGTGCAGAAGTGGCGACTTTGTTGGGTTCTCCCGAGGGACGATTATTGAGCCCTCTGCGAGACCGCGTTCGACTCGCCGGGTCGCATGTGGAACCTGTGGCAAAGAATTTGAAAAAGAGCCGAGTTGCATCATTTCTCCTTCGGGCCAAGCTATTTTTGTATCGTTTCTCTGCATATCCATGGGGCGACCCAGCGGCTGTGGAGCGATTTTTTTTCCAGCGTCGACTCCGAATCACTTTTGACGTGGAAAACCCTCCAGGTGGAATGGAAAGCCGCAGCCAACTCCTTAGTCGCGCGGTCTTTGACCATCTTCTTGCCACCTCCTTTGCACCCACAGCGGAGTTGTTTGAAGGGAAGGGAAATGCGTCCAACAAAGATGTTCGCCTTACCTGCAACTTGGGTGAAATGCTCGCGGCCTATCGAAAAGCTTCCAATGATGTATCGTTCATTTCACGTATGATGGGCAATATTGGTCTTGGCGCCCTGCTTTCCCTTTTCTTTGGTTATGGCGGTTATAGTGCTACTGTTAGGAGTGTAGCTGGTGGTGGTGATGTATCTCCCGTGTTTTTAGAAACGGCAGAAGGGGGATCGGTGTATGTTTTTGAGGAGCTTGGCCCAAACGGTAGAAGCAGTCTGTGGCTGCCGTCATGGGTGGCGGCGTGGCTTGGCACTCGGCCGATGGCATCAACAGAAACACTTTTTCTTGGAAAGGATGGCCGGCACCGGTTCGTTTACGAAGCTCAATTGCCCGCCGCAAATCCCGTGTGTCTTCGTCTGGCCGTTGCGCATGCAAAAGAACTTGTTATTCACGTAGAATATTTTCTTTTGTTTGATGTCTTTTGGCTGAAGATTATACTTGTTCTCTGCCTGATACGGTTCTTGCAGCCATGGATAGAGGATGTTCCGGCCTTTCAGGTATTGCTTGCTGGAATGGGCGGAACCATTGTGTTGGTTGGTTTTGTGTTACTCTTTCTATTTCGGAAGCTGCAAAATATGACACTTGGAAAGATTGGTCTATTTGCACTTTTAACAGTTGGTGGTTTCTCTGCCCTTGCTGAAAGTCTGTTGAGTGCATATGCCGCGTTTCTTTACGCATATTTTAACTATTATGAGGAGTCTGACCTGATTTTCTGCCTCAAGTGCGTACTACTTTTGGTAGGTGTAGCCTGTGGCTTCTTTGCGAAGTTCTTTTGGGCAAGTTATCTTTTTTCACTGACTCGATGGACATTGCGGTGGGCCCAACTTGGAACCGTCGCGTGTGCGATGATGCAGAACCGTGAGGCAACGATTGTGTTTCTTGCCACGGCGTATGTATTTTATCCATCCAGACTGCTTCGCTTCATATTGTGGTGCTCGCGATCGCAGGAGTTGGAAAACCGGGAAAATGAGCCAAAAGAGAAGTTCCCCGGCTCCGCGAGACGTGAAGTGGCGTACGTGCAGCCGCTTTGTGTTGAGGGTTTTATTGGTGGCTCCCGGGCACTTAGCTCGGAGGAGAAACTCCGCCTGTACGACGCACTTGGAAATGAATACACGCAGCGTGCTCTTGCGCACCTTGCGGATTCCGTGAAGGAGGACCCGAGGAGGTACGCATCACGCCTGAAGAATCCAAGTGACGTTGTGAAGTGGGCACGACAATACAACTAAGCTCCGGCTCAGCTTTCACACATGAGAAGGGTCAGTGGCGCGTCGGTCTCTCTATTTCCCTTCTTACTTCTTTTTCCTTTTTTCTTGTACGACGGAGGGGTGAGGAACAGAAATTACTGGCAGCTTCAAAGCCTGGTTTCGTTTTACTCCGTTTTATATATATATATATTGTATGTGTGTGTGCATACGTACGCATGGTTATATATTTATAATAGATTAAATACGAGAGATAAGATTTGTGTGCAAAAATAATAATAATAATAATATATATATTTGTTAGGATCAAGATTAGAAAAAGATTTTACATTGTGTGAGTAGACATGGAAGTGGTGTTAATTGACAAAAACAATTTTTTTTTTTTTTTGCGTGTTATTTGCTCGTTGGGGAGGGGAGGAACACCTTATGTATCGTGGGGGGGTATATGTGCGGTAAGTTGAATTTTATCTTCTTTTTCCCTGCCTTTTTCTTTTTCTTTTCCTTTTTCTCTTTTATTTTTGTTTAGTGTGGGAGTATTTGTTCTCCATTCGACAGGGAAATATTCCAACAAACGCTTTATTTTTTATTGCGCCACGGAGACTGAGTTGAAACTCGTAACAACGAAAATATATACATCTCTCTCTCTCTCTCTCTCGTACTGGAAAGCGGCCATAAGCCATTGGCCGATAAAAAATTGTAATAAAACTAAAAAAAAAAGTCAGAGGGGGAGAGACAGGTGGGCGGGGAAAGTAAAGAAATGGTAAATCTTGATAATGCCAATACGCAGCTTGGGTTGGATGTGTACTTTCCCGGGTGCGACACGTACTACCAACAGTCACGTCCCGCCTACCTTCCTTACATGGATGGGAGTTTATATAAACCCTGGCAGCCACGTCATCCATGGATGCAGTCTGCGGAGCGTCAGCGACGCGACAACCCATCGACCATTGAGGAAGCCTGTGTCTACGGTAGTCTAGCTCACGTCATCACATTCTGGGCGCAAGGCCATGAAGTAAAGGATCGACGTGCTCTTTTTGAGGGAAATGATGCGACTCTGCTTATGTGGTCCGCACTTCGTGGTCATTTAGGCGTCGCCAAATTTTTAGTTGATCAGGGAGTGAAAGTCAATGCGGCTAATGGATTGGGCCACACCGCACTACACTGGGCAGTGACAGGCGTTCAATATGAAATGACGCGTTTCCTTCTGGATCACGGCGCTGACCCTCGTCAAAAGGACCATCAGGGCTACAGTGCGTATTTTACAGCCGTACAGGCAAATAACCTTCCGCTATTATTGATGTTGTGCGAGCAACATCCTATTGACCCGCAAGAACGGGATTTTGAAGGTCATTCCCTGTTGCATTGGGCAGCCTACACGAACTCTCTGGTTATTTTTCAGTACCTTGTTGAAAATTGCCACTTCGATTTAGATGTGCCCGACCTTAATGGACGCACCCCGCTTCTCTGGGCTGCCCGCGAAGGATACGCGGTGATTTTGGAGTACCTTGTCTTACGGGGTGCTCGTACTGATTTGGCGGATAAGGACAACTACACGGCATTGCAATATGCACGTTTTAGAAATCACCGTGAGGCCGTGTATGTGCTGACGAAAGCCCCCATCTTCCAGCGTAATGGCAGCACCTTCTCTGTCAAAAGTGACTTTTCGCCAATGGAAATTTCAGGAAGTGGGTACATCAATGTACGTCAAATGCGCCGACGTGGTACGGTGAAAATGATGGTTCAGGAGCCAATTTTCATGGTTATGTCACTCTTAGGCATTTTTTATGTGGCATTCTCGTACCTGCTTTTAAAATTTATTCCCCCGTTGATAAGTCACATTGTATTGGGTATTTTTTTCTTTAGAAATTCACTTTGGATGTTAATTCTTGGATATCCCGTCCAGGGAGGTAAACCAGAGCTTTCTTTCATACAGAAAATGGGTATTGGGAACAGTTTTGGTGAATCCGCGCGTGGCATTTGGCTCTTCAGAAACCGTGATGGAAGTTGTTTATTTGCCATAATGTCCTTTTGGCTGCTGCAGCAATACGCCTGGGCGAAGATGGGTCTTGTGCCGATCATTACTTCTTATCCTACCGATGAGATTGCACTAAAGGATCATCCTCTTGAAAGTGTTTACCAGCCCACTGGGAGTATATTTTGGGGCTTCTTTTTTAATAATAAGGCGGAATTGGAAGGATTTTTACTGTTGTTTTTGTTTTCCCTTATGATGTTGAGTTGCATCATGTGCAAATTACTTTCTATGCGTTCCACGTATGAACCTTCCGAGTCGTCACTGAAGACTTCTCCTGTTTGGGCAATTATGAGGCAACGTGCATACGGCTGGTTACATCCTCGCATCATTTCTATAGAAAAACACATGTTGATTCCTCTTCGTACCTTTTATTGTTATGAGCGCGATGTTTTCTTTCGCCGCTTTGACGGGTACAGTATTGCCCTGGAGTGTCCCATCGCAGAGAGTAACCATGGATGGTTCTTTCTGTTTGTCACGAGCGCTGCGTGTTTTCAATGGCTTATATTTTTTTGGGCCTGGGAACAAACGAGTGAGCGATTACAATGCCCCCGCTATTCATCTTTTTCCAGCCGGGTTGTTGGATCACTGTGGAATTTAATTATTCACGCATTGCCTTGTCGTGATGGAACGCGCCTCGGTGTGGCAGACTACGGCCCCTGGGTATCGTGGCTGCAGTATGTATTACCAACGGAAGCGAATTATCTTGGCGTGTGGCTGCTTCAGTACGGCCTCGTGGCTTCCATCATGGCGACATTTGTGGCCGTGCGGCAGTGGGTCGCCGCCGCTAACGGTGCCACATGCTTAGAATTAGCGAATCCCACAGCAACAGGCAGTGAGGGCGGTCTTGTCAGCATCTTCCCTCCGACCATCTCCTTTAGTGCACCTTGGCTACCACCAGAAGGTATTACAGAGGGTGTGACACTACCAGTAGACGATGGGACAGTGTTACATTCCAAAGCAAGGAAGAAAAATTCTCGCTGCATCTATGCTGATTATGGGAATGCCTTGTTGAACATTTTTCTATTTTGTCTTGGTCGTTCAGGGCGTCGTTGGCGTGGCGCAGTGGCTGTTTCTCCCGCAAATGCACCATTGTTCACCCTCTCGGCGCTGGGCGATTCATTTAGTGTGTAGGGTCAAGAAAAAAAAAAAAGGGCCCAACGCATAGACCTTCCTCCAAATTACACACGACGAATAAACACGCATGCATACATTGGGTGGTATGCGCATAAGTGTGGTAGGAGAGGGACGGGAAGGAGAAGAATCTGGGAGTGGGGATGAGCAAAGAGGGAGGAAGAAGATGAAATATTTGGTTGTTGGTTGGTTGGTCTTTTACAGTGCACCATTTATAGAACGATTTGAATTGAACGGTGGCAACAGAAAGAAACAAAGCATTTTAGTTGTTGTTATTTGTTGTGTTGTGCGTGTTTTTTTATTTTTTATTTTATTTTATTTTTTTTTTTTTTTGTATTTGTTGAAACTTTTTGTGGAATTTCAATTGACTTTCTGCCGGTAACTTTTCAATTTTTCCTCTTTTTTTCTTTCTTTCTTATTGCCTTTCTGCTGGTGAGAAGAAGAAAAAAACTGTGCTTTTTGCATTTTATGGATGCCCTGCCATGTCATTCATTTGCCCTTTTTTTCCTTTTTTTTCTATGAATTTTTTTATTGATGCCGTGGCGCATTTGGGAGCAAGGGAAAAAAGTGTGCAGTTGTCGAGTCCTTTCGTTGTGTGAGTGGCGGAGTGTGTTAGAGTTTGGCCGACGGTGAGTAAAATAGGGAGGAATACGTATCAACAAGTGGCGAAGATATGCCCCGTACGGAAGGGCAGGAGGAAGTCGGGACGACGAAGAGGAAGAAGACGCCAGGAGATCCGATCCACACGGAAGATCCACGGCAACCTCTTCGCATATCGAATGCTTCCAGTACGAGTGCCGCTCACCCCTCGCAGACGCTGAACAGGAGTCGCGAGAGTGATGCCGCAGCGGCTACGAGCAGCCCTTCTGAGAGTGGCAGTGGTGATGGTAGCGACGGCGTTGAATCAGAAGGAGAGGATTTTGAAAGCGAAATGAGCGATATCGATCGCTACTGCCAGCATGCAGCATTATTCTCCAACAGTAGGGGCGTAGATTATTTTTTGAATGGCATGCCGTCCACGGAACCATTGCGAAGACGAGCTGACGATCACCAGTTTAGCGGTGGCGAATACTCACTTCCTTCGCAGGAAAGCGAGGCCCTGCGGACAAATATGATGATGTCTTCAATGGGGAACACGTCACTTGAGATACGTGACATCAGTGGGGACGATGCCACGAAAGCAATTGTAGCTTGTGGTTCGCCCATGGAGAGGGAGGTACAGGCATTTTACACTCACCACCGCATGGCCCCTTCTTTCGATGAAACCACCACGAATACTACTGTGGGCACGGATGAATGTCGGTCGACGTGTCATACCCGCTGTCTCTGCTGTCAGAGCTTAATTGCGGTGACGCTGGATAGCAATGGCTCTGTGGATGATGGGAATCAAAAAGGGAAAGAGGATGACAACTTGGAATCCCCCTCCCAGCGTGTCACTGGTGTACAGACAGAGCAGACGAGAGAATGTAATTACTTAACAATAAGGAGGTCAGGCCATGATATGGTCGATTCACATGCCACGCTGCGGCGACAGGGATGCTCCACATTGTATGATAGACGTCACCAGCACCATCGCCGCCAACAACAAGAACTGTTTCATACATGCACGGGGTCCAACGCACATTTTAATGCAAAAATACAGGATGGTGCTGCGAAATCCATGGGGAATATGCGTCAAGACTGGCGACACCAACAGAATCAAGGACAACAACAAGAACAACGGGAAAAACCCCGACAGAGAAAAGAATCACAGGAGGGGAGCTTCAGTAGTAACACCGTTACCTCTCTCTTCCCATCACTACCAACTTTTAGTCCCACTTCTTTTGTGCGTGCGTATGTCGGGGAGGGAAATTATCCTTGGGAGGCAACGCTTGATAACCGACCTGCTCTTACTGTCTCATGCTGCGTGGCGGCAATGAACTGGGTAGTCGTTCAGTTTCTGCAGTATCACGTTTTGGACACTCGTGACCACTTGGGGCTTTTTGTTATTGGAACCTATATCATATTCTCTAGTTACTACATGACCTACTACTTTTTGGAGCGTTACTCACTCTCATTCGCCCGTATATCTCATGATAAGAAGTTTTACACCATTGCGAACCTTATAAAAGCCGGCATTCTTGTCTCATTGGTTCCCTTTGCGACTTCACACCTGGGAAATATTATTATGTTTGACGTTTGGGACACAAATACACTTCGCAATCTTGGCTGTATTTATACTATTCCTGACTTTGTCTCCATGATTGTGGTGAAGCGAATGAGTTGGTCCACGTGGATACATCATCTGTGTGTTCTGTTGTTTAACTTTTTTAGCACAACAAACGACTACTCTCAGGAAAACATTTGTCGTTGTGTTGTTGTTTACGCGGCTTTCTCAACATTTGCGTATTGTGTAAATGTGTTACTTGCGTCGCGCTTTCTTGGTGTTTCACCCAACGTCGCACGTGTACTCTCCGTCGTTGCTGTGGTGGTTTACATTTTTTGTTGTGCTACCAACTGGACATGGCAGGTGTATTACCTGCGGAAGCTGATTCGAGATGGGCATGGCCACTGGACCGTGTATGCGTACATGCCTTTGATGTCTTTGGTCATGTATGATGACATTACTTTGAGTAAATGGCTTCTTCATAATGCCAAAAGCACAGCATTTGCCGCAGCTAATTACAGGGAACACCAGCACCGGCAACAACAACAACAACAACAGCAACAACAAATGGCCGCTGCAAGGGTTAGCCATCGTGTGTGAGTGCGTGGCATCCATGACCGTTTGCTTTTCCCCTCCCTTTTCTGCCTTTCACTCCTTCTATCGCCTAAAGTTGTTTGTGGCGGTGTAATTCAAAGATGCCGTGTTTTTTTTTTTCTTCCCTTTTTTGTTTTGGTTCATGGTTGTGTGTGTGTTTGTGCGAGCGTAACATCCTTTTTTGTTACTTGTGCTCCTTCCCTCTCGCTAGCACTTATTTATTTATTTACGGCTTTGTTGTCCGTGTAGATATTGTTGTGTATTTGGAGCGATGTTCTTCTTTCTCCTTTTGTTATTGTTGTTATGGAGGGAGTTGGTTTCCGAGAGGCGGGAGTAAAACTGTGTTTTTTTTCTTTTTTTATCCTTCATCATCAGCATGTCATTTTTTTTTTTTTTTTGATGTGCCCTGCGCTTCTTTTGTTGTTTTTGTTGTTGTTTCTGTCCTGTTGGAGCTGCGAATTTCTGGTACATCTGTTTTTGATTCTCCTCCCAATTTTGTGCCGCGTGAACTCTGCATTGTGGCGTGACCGCACCGCATGCATTCCCTGTGAACGTCCGTAACCACAAATGCATGCATGAAATGAAGTCAGGGAAGGTGGGGGAGGAAGGAAAAAAGGGTGAAGTGGACGCACCAAAGAAAACACCAACAGGAAGGTCGTTACACCTTTACTTTTAGTACTCTTCGCATGACGGAAGTCTACACCACACCGGAGGTAGCAGCAGGGGAGGGGAGGTCGGGACTTTTCTCAGCTGCCACGCCTGGAAGGATGAGGTCTGGGGTGCATGATTCATCCGCGCTTCCCGAGACGAAGACGATTGGCGCGTCGGTCTCATCGTTCCAAGAGCCCCATGGAGCTGCATGTGGTGACACGGACACAAGCCACGAACGCCCCCTGTGGATTGAAGAGGAGGATATTGCATTTTTTTTCGCTGCCATGACATGGAACGTTGAACTCCTCGAGGTATTACTATCCAGGGCTGAAAATCCGCTTCTCAGTGACGTTGCCTATGGCGGTTCTTACGACTGTCAGCAGCAGCAACAGGCGACACGTGTGCCGGAGGAAGAAAATGTGACCACACTTGCCAGAGCAGCCTTTCCCACGCTTGAAGAAGCTCTTTTGACGGCCTCCGCAGCAATGAGAACGCCGCCGAGAGGTAAAAGCCGCCTTCCTGGCGGTAATCACAGCCGTCGGAGCAAGCGGCGAAGGATTGGACGTGGTCACACAACGCAGCTGACTATTTACTCTACCTTTTTGTACGAAGCCCGGGTGGAGGTGGATTATGAAGACGAAGTGGAGGATGAAAAAGAAGAAGTGGCGTGGGAGAGCAAAAAGTACAAGAAGAGTGGCAGAGGAAAGTTCCACTTCACCACACAGGCGCCATACAAATGTGGCGCAATCAAAATGAAGAAAGAAAAATACGCTGCTTACTCGACAGAAGAAGAGTTCTACCAGAGTGACGTGCCGCAGCGCTGTCTTGAAGCACACGATAACTTTCATGCCGCTGCCATTTCCGAAACCACGGCCAACAATGTCACCGTACCCGCTGGACCTGTTTTGCAGGGAACAATATTGCAGAAGGAGGATGAGAAGGGGAAGGAGAAAACACAGCAGTCTCCCCCTTGTCCTCCGGTCACTATACGTGATTTTTTTCGGTTATTTTTTCAAAGCTTCCTTATTGTTGTGGTTGCAAAGTTGCGGTATCAAGAAGAGCCTGCCTCCAGTAACCGCCGATCGAATCCACTTTCTCCATTGGAATCTCGTGCGCTTTGCTTTGTGCGTCGCTATCGTGTAGTCTTTAAAGAAATTTTGCGTCGACATGTTATGGGAAGCGAGAAGGAAGTGGAGCGGCGCGCAACACAGTCACTTCTTGTTGATGCATTCCAATGTGACGAAGCGAGGGACGGGAACTGGGGGGCTGGGTGGAAACCGTCATATTCCCAGGTATACATTTCGGGGAGGGAACCGGTGTATCAGCCTCTACTTCTTGACTTCCTAAACATAACACGAGTGGTACAATGTTATGCGAATCCGCCTCAGAGTGATGTCAATGATTTCCGGGGCATTGGGGGGAGCAAAGATATGGCTTTAAATAAGCTATATTGCTGGCGTCGACTACTATTGGAGGGGTCTGATATGAGCCAGGGCAATTTGCAAAACGTGAAGAGGGCAGGTTCACTTTTTCTCTGCGGTGAAGAACAGGAAGTGGCATACGAGCTCTTGAGGAAGTGTCTTTCACCTCTGGCCTGGGAACCGTATAGAACCTTTGGTCCGTACATGATTTACACCGCGGAGCTTCCGTGCTCAAGTCGATTGATTGCTAAGTTGGTTATTCCCGCCGAAGATCAGGAATCGTATGATCTTTCTCAACACTTTCAGGAGGGTGTCTTTTGTTTTCTGCACGGCATCCCATTTTTTCCTTTCGACGCGGCACGTAGTGGACCTCAAAATGTGCCGTCCCTCCTGCCCCGGTGCTGCTCCCTCGTGCATTGCTCAGCTGGGATGCACCGCTCCAGCGGTCTGGCAATTGCGTATTTACTATGGCTTGTGGCATTGTCATGCGGTGAACTTCCGGTTGTACGGGACTCCGTGGATTTATTGGTGAAGAAGAATGAAGAAGGACAAGGGCGGCAGTATCAAACCATTGCTTCATATCTTTCTGTCTTTCTTGGGAATCGGGGGAAGCGTCCAAACACTACCGAGACCATGGCCGCAGATGTGACGGCAACACCGACATCTTTACCATTGCCAGCAGCCGCAGGAGATGTATGGACGGATGCAGAGGGAAGTCACGTGGAGAAACACGGGAATGAGATCGACTCTGTGGCAAACAACAACACATCGATTCTCGAGCTATGTGTGGAGCACGTGCGCCGGCAGCGTTCCATGGCAGTTCCCATTTCCGCCGTGCGAGAACTTCTTCGACGTTATGCATGCTGTCTACATCTTCAGTGAAGCTCGGAATGTCTGAGTTAAGTGGAAACGAAGAAATGAGGGGGAAGGGGCCCTAAAAATGATGTTCCCTGGAATGTCAAATGATGCTCGTCCTCAAAGGATTCAAAACGATCCCCGCCTTCTCTCTAACACCACCCTCTCCCTCAATACTCAAAAAAAAAAAAAAAAAAGGAAAAACGACATTGCCTTGTGTGACCCTATTCCAACTGAACACACAAACACCGAAAACAACAACAACAACAGCAGCAGTAGCGGAAATGGTTTTGCAGGGGAATCTTATGTCGTTTTTAGATTGATGTTCTTTGTTTACGCTATTTTACGTCTTATTCCAGGTATGCGGATTGGTATAGACGCGGCTTTTTTTTTTATTTGAAGAGATTCCGCAGGCCGTAATTATTGGCCGCCAATAATTTGACAACAACTTGCGTCTCTTGTGCTTACGATCATTTTCTTGCACGCTTCCGGCAGGGAATTTTTAGCCGTTTTGTTCTTGTTGTTGTTGCCCTTCTTTTTTTTTTTTTTTTTTTTGAATGTTCCTGGGATTGTTATTCTATCGCCGCATTGCGCTGGGGGTGGGGGGAATAGAGGAAAAGGAGGGGAAAAAGAGGGCTAAAGAGAAGAGGAACACAAAATGGGCCGCGACAGTCGTGGAGATCGCTACGCTCGACGCGTCGATGCCGAAACCGATCGGCATGGCGCTGTTGATGGAAGCAGTAGCGCCTCCAAGAAATCTACGCGCTACGGGCGGTACGCGGGAAAACGGCGTTCACGTTCCCCGCGGAGTGGGCGCCGTGGTGGCAGCGAGGACCGAGAAAGTGATCGCTACCGCAGCAGACGGCATTCCGAGAGCGATGAACAGCGACGACGTCGACATGGAACGGGCAGAGGTCGGTCAGGTAGCAAAGAAGGAGCTAAGAAAGGAGGGGGACGCCGACGTTCACGATCACGGGGGTCATCATCATCCTCTAGCACGTCACGAAGAGTGGATGGTGGCCGGCAAAAATTTGAGGCGGTGGACGTACGAGAGCTGCTGCAGCCTGAAGTGCAGACACCTGCCGGTTGCATGACATCGTCATTGCCCGGTGAAATGATCTTGGCCCTCATTCAACAACAACAACAGCAGCAGCAGCGGATTCCAGTAATTTTTCAGCAACAGGACGAGAAGGAAACTATGAGGGACGCCGTTTTTCCATCACCAGATACGCCGGTTGCAACAGTCGCATCACCACCTCCGGCTAAAAATGACGGAGTCAACGAATCCCAGCAACTACAAGAACAACAAGAACAAGAACAAGAGCAGAGAGGAGCAGAAGAGGCAAACGAAGAGAACGCTTCCAAGGCAGCGGGTCCATCCAGAGTTCTGCCTTCCGTAGCCGACTTTGTCCCGGTTATTCCAAAGAGCTTGTTGAGTCTTCTTAGTGCTCCAGGGGGCAGCAATAATGATGGTAGTGGTGGGAGCGGTGGGTTGACGGGTACAAGTGCCAGTGGCGAGACCGAGGAGGGACAACAGGGAGCACTGACAACGACAACAGGGGCGTTAGCTGTTCTTCAGGCACCGAAGCTTTCACCAGAGGCGGAGCGACGTGCCCGAGAGGCGCGTCGTGCGCACATTTCTTCTTTTCCTCAACGTACCACCCGGCAAGAACTGTTGGATTACTTTACCACCATTATTCCGATGGTGCGTCGTGTGAAGGTGCAACGAGAGATGGATGAGTTTACGGAAAAGCTGCGTGAAGAAGGAGGCCCGGGGGCGGATATTGAGCGTCGGGAAATTCCACCGAATGCCATTGTGGATGTTGACCGCGTAGTTGACATTGCGGTCAACAGTGCCAAGTCGAAGCCATTTGCCTTTCTTGAAGTCAATCTGGCAGACCTTGTGACGGAATTGGTGGAGGAGTCCCAGCGTGATCCGGAACGTTTTACTTTCATCTCTGCTGATGGACGGTCGTACCCAATCACAATCCGTCGGCCACGCGATTACCAGGTCTTGGCTGGAGTGGACAGACGCAAGGTTGTTATGCTTGGCTTTCCATTGACACTTTCAGCAGCGAAGTTGCGACTGGTCTTTGAGCAGTATGGACCCCTTCTTGCCTTTGATGTGAAGGCTGGAATGGCGTACGGAGAATTTGAAAAGGAGTCGGATGCCGTTGATTTTGTTTCTGAACTTCATGGCGAAACGCTTGGAAACAATGTGGTGGTGTTGATGCCTTTATACGACTGGTTAAAGGTGGTATGCACACATGCCGAAATTGACGTTGCGCTTGATCCAGATGACCCTGTCTCGGGTGCATCCCTGCTGGCCAAAGATGGTCAGATAGCCGGCTCACTTGTGCCTGTTCTCGCCGATGACGTTGCAAAGGCTGAAGAACCGGTGAACCACATGAAAGAACTGGTGGAGTTTGCGGTGCGGCTGCCGGATGTTGTCTTACACTTTGCCAAGACATTTCCCCACCTCTCAACGTTGTACGGCAGCACGGTGCCTATTTACCCCACTCGGGTTTTAGTGTTGCTGAATTTGTTTGATGAGGAGGAGCTTGTGCTGGACGAAACGTATGAGCGGCTTGTGGATGAAATCACTTGCGAGGTGGAGAAGTACGGTCGTGTTAAGACGCTCATCATCCCCCGCCGTGCCCCACCACCGATGCCGCCCAAACCGCCGAAGAATTACTTTGCGTCCCGAATAAACACAAATAAGAAGAGTGGTGATAATCTCAAGAATAGTGGTGGCCATAACCGACAGCATCACGTCAATCAAAGCATGGGCGGCGTTTCATCGCCTGACGGAGAAAATGAAGACTGCTATAAAATGGAGAATGATGACGTTGATGAGGAGGCGAAGTACGAACGGGCCAAGGCGGAGTACCTTAGAGCACGCGAAGAGTACACAGAAAGACTTATGCATCCAATTCACGGTGGTTTTGGTCGTGTGTTTGTGGAGTACGAGTCTGTTGATGAGGCGGCAGAGGCACAACGCGCAATCGCTGGTCGCTTGTTTGGGGGTCGAACCGTCGTGACATCGTTTATGTTTGAGGATGTGTTGAACCCACCTACCGCCGAGGAAGTGGAGGCGGAAGCAGAAAAGAAGGTTCAGCTGTATCTGGAGTCCGTAGGCGCCTGCGGTGACGAGGAAAAAGAGGAACTGCAGGCAGAGTAGGCGACACCTATCAATGATAATGCGGAAGAAACGGCGGCAGCGCGGCTGGAATGAGAGGTTGATGGAATGGAGATGTCGATTTAAATAAGCGTGACGCCGGAGCCTTGGTTTTTGTTTTAAACTCTGCGGGTGTGTCTGTATTTTTTGTTTTTCTTGTCGTATCCGCCATAAGCACCTCCCGCATGCACACGCACAGGGAAAAACAAAAAACAAACAAAAGGCATTTACTACCGAGAGAAAGTAGGCGGAAGATGACGTGTGTATGCTTTGCCTCCTCATAGAACTATAAGCGGATCCCCACAGAAATAAAAATGGAACTGAGGCTGTCGGGGGAGTTGTCCAAAGGATGGGAAGAGGACACAAGAAGGAAAAATTAAAAGGAGGAAATTGAAATTAATGAGAGACCCGCAACTCCTTTTTTTTTCTTTTTCTGTTCTTCTTTTTTTTTTTCCATTTTTTTTTTTTTTTCTTGTGTGTGCGTGTAGAAACGCTCGGGAGGGCAACGGCGCACTCATTCGAGGCAAACTGCACGCTTACACAGAATATAGTTCCCGCCATTCTTAGTGCTCCACGTCTAATTTCCTATTTTTATTTTCGTTCGTTAAACGTGGGACGGTTCGTTTGTTCTTGTTTTTTTTTCTTTTCTTTTGCGTAGCGGACTGATCATTTATCATTTCTTCCGCATGATTTTGTTATTTATTTATTTTATTATTATTATTTTTTATTTTGAAATGGCCTTTGACGAATCAGCTGTCGCAGCACGCCCCCACTCAATCGTCCACACACACACACACACACGAAGGAACAATAAAGGGGGGATTGGGAAAAGGAAAGAAGGGAGGGAAGTGAAAAGATGTTGTTTGCTCCCGGCCACATTTGGCGTGTCAGGCGCTTTGTGGCGCCGTTCCATTTGCTGCATGCAAACCCTGGTGTTCGGTTTGCCGCCGCCATGGAGATCAGGCGTCAGCAGTCCACCAGTGCTGTGGGAGATGACGACGATGATGATCATGATGGGAAGTCTTTGCCCTCACACGGTGGAACGAAATCTCGAAGGGGCCGATCGAGGCGACGGGATGCGCGCGGCAAGCAAGAGGGCGAGGCAACAAAATTGGGTTTCCACCAGCAAAAAGAAAATGATAAGGGAAGTTCAGCATCCGTGGTTTTGCCCACCATTCTGACTAACGGAAAGGTATTCTCGTCGTCAGTGCCTGCAGCACACTCTGAAGATAGTTTGGCGGTAGCTCGCTCTCTTGAAGTTCACCGTCGGCTTTTGTCCGAGGCACAACTGCATCGTCAGATGCAAGCTGGTGAGACGGTTGCTTCGGGTGCTGCACACGTGGCCCATGAGAAGATTGAGCGCCGGCGAAAGAAATGGGCTCTTACAGAGGTGGAGTTTGATGTTGGCATCACAGAGCGTCTCTTTCCGGAAATACGCCGCCTGTCGTCACTGCACGAGTTACATTATGGTGATGCCCTAATGCGGGAGGTAGACGCCGCATCTTATTTTGCAAGCAAAGACAGTGGAAAAATCCCTGAACAGTTGGCGGCGAATGGAAAGACGGTGGAGATGTCACTCACGGATGCAGACTTCTTGTCATTTGAGGAGCAAGAACCGCTGCAGCAACCAGTACCCGCTACCTCTTCGTCTTTCTCTACCGTGCCTTCATCACTAGGTGAGAGCGGTGGCATTCCTCCAGACAAGGAGGAGCGGAAACAACAGTCTCAAGAGTCAGTGTCCTGTCAACTTCAGAGTGAAGAAAAAGTCGTTGTTCACGGTGTCCGTACACCATGGTTTGTACCAGAAGGCGGTGTGGTTCGGCTGGAACCACTCTCATCCTCGGATGCTGTGTGTCTCCTGTGCTTTGTGTTGCATCTCCGTCGGCAAACACTGCAGCATCTGCCACTTGCTGTTCAGAAAAGGATGAAAGAGGCGCAAGCTTTGCAAGGGGCAGCATCGAATGACAAGAAGAGTTTGGGAAGGCATCTCTCCTTGGAAGACGTCATGTTATACCTTGACACAGCTCCTCCACCTGTTATTGGATTTACAGAAAATCTCCCACCCAGTAAAAGTCCGGCGTTTCTGTTTGTCCTCTACACTGAGAATGTCTCATTGCAGAATGCCATTGGGCACATGGCGGCGCTTTTTAATATACCACAACGTGCATTTCATACATGTACTGCGGTATCCAAAATGTCATGTGGAGCCGTTCTTTGCGCGGTGGGTCCCAATCATCTGCAGCGCGAACATTTACTCTTGCTCAACACGATGCGTCATCCGGGATTTGTATTACGTGTGGGATCGGTTCGTGCCGTGGAAGATGAAAAGTCTTGTGCCGATCTTTTTGGTGATTTGTCTCTCTGGCAGCCTTTGAATGAAGTCGAACTATTACTGCGTCGTGTAAGTTGCGGCAGTCGTCACGAGCTTGAACACCGCCTACGAGCCGTGCAGGAAGTGGGTGCAGTCTTCTTCTGTGCCAATCGTGAGGCGTCATTAGCACGAGCCGCTACGGATGTGCTTCATGGATTTTTTAAGTCCGCTCTCCTTAACGCCCTTCACCGGAGAAATGCTCCAATGGCAATGCGTCATTTTTTATCGCGGCCAAATCCAATCACTGCAGCACGGGCAAAACGTGTCTCCACGGACGCCACTGTGCGTCAAGTACTCAAGAACTACATTCTTGTTGGAGGTGACTGGTCACAGACAGTTGCACGAACGCCATATGTATGGCGGCGGCGTTGGTTGAGTGCCCTCCGCTGTTCTGTGTGGAATATGATGGCGTCGCGGCGTCTACGTCACGGCGGACGTCGTGTCCTTCCAGGTGATGTCGTGCTACGTCCAGAGTACCGTGCTGATGCCCATCGTCGCATGCTTACAACAGTAAAGGCGGAACATGTCATGCTGGTGAATAATGAATCTGAGGCCGCGGAATGTAGTCTGGAGGATGTCTTCATCCCATTTCTTCGTGGAGTCTACCCTTCCGAACTTTTTGCACCGGAAAACACGCAACACCCTATTATGACCCGATCGAATATGTTGACTCTTCTTCGTGAGGCACACGCCCCACAGCTACTGCTTGGCATGAGCGATTCCTGTCGTTTATTACTTGACATTCGCAGCGAATCATCTCCGTTGTTGTTTCGCCGTTTTATTATTCGTCCGATTGATATAACTTTCACTATCCTTGAGGACAAGCCTCCGATGAAATCTATTCACTTTGACGCTGCGCGTGTGCTTGAGAATGATCGGTTGCGTCTGCAGCGTTTGCCGCTTGCTGGGAAATCAATTGAAAAGGAATCTTCGCAAACATCTGGAGATACCGTCGCTAAATTTTCCTTGGCGTCATCACTTGTAAGTCAGAGTCTTGTGTTGGGCTGCACAACAATTGGGGCACGTTTGTCTAATGGTCTACTTGCTGAGGAATTTTTTACTCCGCCAGTGCGTGAGGAGTACGTGGCTCTTGGACACGTGGAGCGACAGCTGAACGGCAATCTTGTTCTTGCCGCTCCGCGTACGGGCGACGATGCACTAAAAACAATTGACCGCCTATTTACGATTCATGTGCATGCCGTTGTAAGAAATGGATTGGCTGCATTAGGGCATATGCTACGTGAGTATTTTATCCTTGTCGGTGTGGAGCGTGAGGATGACAGTGCACTGCAGCACAAAATTCACCGCGTGCGGCGAGAACTTGATACCGAGACACGGTGGCTGACAAGTCCAACGTTCTGCCGGGCATGTTACTGTCGCGATCATGATGCGTTGGAGTCATGCGCTGAGTATCAATTTAAGCGTGGCAAACATGAAAGTTTCAAGAGGCGGGAGGAAGTTATTCAGGAGCTGGCAAAAGCCGACACGTCGGCAATGCTGCCGCCCAATGCCACAACAGGGATGACGGATATGGGTAGTAGTTTGGCGACAGTGGAAAATCCAAAGGATGATAATATGGTCCTGGAGCTGGAGCTGCGACTGCGTCGTCGATCAGAGGAACAAAAATGGGGTATTCACCTCACTTCCACCCTTTATCTTTCTGCGATCGACGATGTGACTGTAGTGTCGGAGTGTCGACTACGCTGGGGGGCAAACGTCCCTTACAGTCCTGCCATTCAGAAAGTATTCCGAAATGAAATGTTAGGGCAGAATGAGCATCAGAAGGGAAATGCAACCAAAAAAAGCGATGGGGCGAATCCGCAGTTTGTGGCCCTTTCTCAATTTATTCTAAAGGCAATGGGTGGGACGGAGAGTCTGTTACGTGCCGGCGATGATGATTCTTTTTTGCCGCTTATAAATACAAGTGAAGGCTTACCACTCTCCCAATTCCATGACGTCTTTCCGCCTCCAACCTCAATTTTAACTGATGGGGTTGCTACTGCTGAATCCCGTTTGGGGGCTGAGGATGTGAACTCCCGCAAGTTTCTGAGGCAATGCAAGTGGGTTTTGACTGGCATCAATGACACGGCGGTGACGGAGCGTCGTCAAGTGGCTGCTGTGTTTGTGAAACTTGGAAAACGGCGGGAGGTATGTCTTCAGTTCCGCGCCACTCTTCAAGTTTTTGGTGGCTGTGGTGCTCCTTGCCTCATCGCTGGTGAAAAGCTTCCAGAGACCATTGAGCTTGTATTAAATCGAAGGGGTCCATTCACGGGGGGATGGGGTTTAAAATTTGGTAGTAACTCCCTCGCGCTACTGAATCTCTCACAGTTAATTCATGCAGACAGCTCTTCCGGGCTTAAAATTGTCTTTGACCCACCATCACTCCCAGGTGTTGCTAGCACTGAGACTGTGGATGGCAAATACGTGTTGAGCCGTGTCAATGGGGAGGTGGTTGTCTCACAACGCGATGTACTGGAACGTCTGCAGCGGAAAAAAGTTCATGGAGAGGAAGAATTTTTGCGGTTGCAACTTGTCTTGTGTTCTCAACGTGGGGAAGAAAACATCGGGGTAACAGAAGGTGAGGATGCAACGGTGGTAAATCGCCTCTCTGCGTTTGGAACTGCTGGGAAAGAGGGAGGCGAATACGGCCAAATTGCATCACAGGAGGGCGCAACTGTGGAAACTGACGGTGGAAAAAGTGGGGAGAAGGAGGTTCTGCCAGCGTGCAGTCCACAATGTACGCCAGTAACACCGGCACAGCGCAAGCGCAGTGTTGCTACGATTGTCATCAACCGCAAACCTGAAGCTCCGTCAGGGCGATGGGGAATTCGTGTACAACGCGGGACGTTGCGATTACAACGTATTCAGAGCAATCATGACTTTTCATTTCAGGTATACGCGGCGAAGCGTCAACAAGCTCTGCGTATCGCAGACACATTGCGATTTAATAATTTACAGAAGCGAGACAGGGACCAATATGGTTTGAATGCAGGGCTGATGGAAGAAGCAGAAGCAGCTACAAGTGATGTGGCGTTTTATTCTCATTTTGTCTATCTTATTGTTGGTGTCAATCATCGCCGTGTTGAAAGTATTGAAGAGTTGCGTGCATCCCTCGCGGCGGCGGCGCGTTCAACAGAAGAATCGGTTGTGCTTCAGGTACAGCAGTATCGTCTTGCTCAATTGTCTGTCCAGATCGTGCGTGGCGGAGGCGACGGGAGTGTAGCGCTCGAACCTGTTGGTTTCCGAGTTTCACGTGACATGGTGGTTGAGTCCGTTGAAGCAGGAAGCCCCATGGCACGGGCAATCTTAGCCGCCACAAACGATGGATGTTCTTTGCGTCACCTCATCAACGGCGGTTCTTCTCCCACCGCTACGGCTGGCGAGCATGGAGACTGTAGCGTCTCAAATCTCTCTGGCAGTAAATCCCATTTGTCTACCAGTAAAAGGTGGGATTTTCATCTCGACGAAGACATGGAGGCGCTGTCGGAATTGCCGGCACCGGTGAAAGGTGCGACGACGGCGAGTGATGCTGGGGCTTCTGGCATCATTACACCGCCTGTCTATTGGAACATGGTGGACGGTGTCAAATTGATGTCGATGTGCGGTGGAAATGGAAGAACGCGATTTGTTTGGCGCGTGTCATACGGAGTGCGGGCGGGGCCATTACGGACGCCGCAGGATGTTGCACGTGCTTTCGCAGCGGATGTGAAGGAAGAGACGCTCTTCTTGCAGCAATGCTTAATCGATGATTGAGAGGGGCGATCAACACACACGCATAAAAAAAAAAACGAGAGAATGAAGCAAGACAAGAAGGCCGTCTTGGTAAAAGGAAACAGACATCTCTGCTCTTTTCAATGATTGTCGTGGAATATTATTTCATTCCGTCTCTGTTATGCGTTTGCCCCCCATTTTGTTTATTGTCGTTGAGATTATTCCGGGCAAATAATTTACCGCGTTAGGAGTGAGGCTTTTTTATCTTTTTACAGAAATATAGATGCCTACCCAGCACGATAATTTCTAATTATGCGCATCTCCCATTAGCTGAAGGAGATACTTCGCCATTGTCTCCCTCCCCCGATAACGTGGCAAGGGCGGGTTGAAATGGGGGGACAAGCCACATGGTATTCCGAGGCTCTGGGGCATGTCTGCTTGTGACGTTTTTTTTTTTTTTTTGGTTTTTAGGGTAGCAATTAGATAAGGAGTAGGTGCCATTTCTATTCTCTTTCCTTCTTTTTTTTTTTTCATTTACTTCGCGGATTGGCTCAAAACAAAACAATATCCGGATTTTTCTTGCAGATGCAGAAGCAATTGGGGTATCACGCCAACCCTGAGAGGGAGGAGCTGCGGCAGGATGTCATCAATAAGACGGCGGTTCGCAATGCCGCACAGGAGCGTCTCCGGGGTCTGATGCAAGAAGTGAAGGCTCAGCAGGAGGAGCTGGAACATGTGCAAGACCAAATCAGTGCATTGTTGAGTATTGGACAATATGTGGGTGAGATACTTCGACAGGTGGATGAAGAACGTTACATTGTGCAGAGCATCTCCGGTGCACGCCACCTTGTTGGGTACAAAAAAAGCATCAAAAGAGAGAAACTTAAATTTGGTGCCCGCGTGGCTTTAGAGATCATCACACTGACAATCGTCAAGGTGCTGCCGCGTGCAGTTGATCCTCAGGTGTACAACATGCAAATCACGGGAGATGAGAAGAATGTTTCCTTTCAGGAAATTGGTGGATTACAGGAGCAAATGCGTCAGATGCGAGAGGTAGTGGAATTGCCACTGACGAACCCGGAGCTCTTCCTGCGTGTAGGCATCACACCACCCAAAGGTGTTTTGCTCTACGGACCCCCTGGAACCGGTAAAACGCTTCTGGCAAAGGCGATTGCATCAAACGTGGATGCTGCCTTTTTGAAGGTTGTGGCATCGTCGATTGTGGATAAATATATTGGTGAATCTGCTCGGGTTGTGCGTGAAATGTTTGCCTATGCACGGGAACACGAGCCCTGCATCATCTTCATTGATGAGGTGGATGCCATTGGTGGGAAACGCATTGATGGGACGTCCTCTGACCGAGAAATTCAACGCACCCTGATGGAGCTGTTGTATCAACTTGATGGTTTTGACAAGCTGGGAAAAGTGAAGGTGATTATGGCAACGAACCGCCCTGACACCCTTGACTCGGCACTCATGCGGCCTGGACGTCTTGACCGCAAAATTGAAATTGGTCTGCCGAATGAAGCAGGCCGACTTGATGTACTGAAAATTCATGCATCAAAGCTTACCAAACAAGGTGACATTGACTATGATTCTCTCGTGAAGCTTTCGGAGGGATTCAATGGTGCCGATTTACGGAATGTGTGCACTGAGGCTGGTATGTTTGCTGTCCGCGCAGGTAGGGATTATGTGACGAATGAGGATTTCAACAAGGCGACGCGCAAGGTTGCTGAGGCGAAGAAGCTCGAGGGTGCTCCGCATCAGTATGCCGATCAATAAGCAGAAAAAAGAAAAATAAGGGAAAGAGAGAAGTGAGAAGTCATGCGATGTGGGAAGCGTTGCAAGGAGTGGAGTGAATTGAGATTGGGAAGAAGAAGAAGAAGAGAAGCTCAAGGATGGAGGGACGGCACCTTTATATTTGTACCAGCGCTAGGGGATTTGAGATTTTAAGGGGGATTGGGGGGCGGGGGGATCCAAGGAGGAGGGCGAAGATAAAGACGGGAAACCGATGAGGAAAAAGGGGTCATGTGAAAGATATGAGGATGTCCTTTTGCATTATTGACGTTCTTGTTGTTGTTGTTGCTGTTGTTTTTTGTGTCGGAAGTGTTTATTTTTGCGTTGCTTCTATTAATTGTTGTTTTTGTGCTGTTGGCTTGCACTTTTAACACTTTTGTTTGTTGTTGTTGTTTTTGATGTTTACGCGGCAATATTTGACTTCCCCTTCTTTCTTTACGAAACCCTAGTTTCCAGTGTTTCCTACCTTTTTTTTCTTTCTTCTGCCATTTTTTTTTTTGTTTTCTTCCCTTTCCTTCCCCCCCCCCCCCCTTTTTTTTTTTTGTCTCTCTCTCCTTTTGTGTGTGTGTGTCCCTGTTCGGTTTTCTTTTGTGTATATATAGTTGTGTTTTTCTTTCTTCCTTTTGCGGCTTCTTTTTCTTCTTCTTTTTTTTTCCCCGTCCCACTGGAGCTGCACCTTTGAAATATGTTTTGTTGTTGTTGTTGTGTTTATTTTGTCATGCTCACCGCTTATTCTTGATTCACTCGACTATTCTCTCCATTGATTCGATCGCAGTACCCTTTTTTTTCTTCTTGCTGTTCCATATCGATATTACAGTTATCTACATATATATATATACACATACACGTATACACACATGTATATATGTATATAAACGCATAGGTATTCCTTTTTTTTTCTTTTTGGCTGCCTTGGAAGCGAACACGGATGCCCATGGTGTGCATGTTGGGTGGTGCCAACCTTTTTCTTGTTATTATTTTATTTAGTTTTTTTTTCTCTTTTTCGGCGGTGGTGGCGGGGAATTCTGCTGGTCACGGGGAATTTGAGTTTGAGTTGGGGTCGCTACCGAGCACACAGGAGGGGTCGTTCCAGTGTGGGCTGCAGAAACAGTGGTTTGTACTGAACGAAAAAAATCGACCTTTTTTTATGGTTACTGAGGGAGAAATCGAAGTGCAGGTGCTCTCTACCCACTACGATGTGAACAGTTATAGGACATACGTTAAAAAGCTTATATCAGGGACGGATCCAGGAGTTATCTCTCCATTCAGCGTATGTTTGTTAACGACACAGCCTCGACTGTACCGTGAAAGTCAACTGGGTATATTTCATGGAAAAGAGGCAACGATAAATTATTCCAGTCAAGATTTAACACATTTTGTGGATAGAACTTATATGGCATTGGAGACGGTATTGGTGTTAAAATTTTTTGAGTATCGTAATTGGCAGAATTTGTTGAATGAAATGGAAGCGATGTCCAGTTACCCCGGTCCAAAGAAAGAGGAAAAATCCACGGGAAAGCCAAGCGTCGATTGGGATTCACCAAGTGGGGTTGAAGGAGGAATATGCAGTTTCCCAGCTCTCTTCACTATTCACATTGACAGTTTTGGTGCATACCAAGCTTCCAATGGCATTCGGCAGCTGCAAACCCGCTCCCACGTCATTGCTGTACTCGCGCAGTGTAGCCATATACCTATGAAGGTGAATATTCAGGTTCGCATGTCAAATGCAGATGGAAAAGGAAGCTCGGAGTACATTTCTACAGAGAAAATCTACCTATTTTACTTGGTAGCATACATTGTATTATTTGGAATTTTGTTATTTCTCATTTTACCATGTGGATCTTTGTCTCAAAAACATTCCGAGACCACATCTTTAGAACGCCTCAGCGAAAGCAGCGGAGGTGTTGATCACACAAATTCTTCAACTGAGTTTGGTGGCTCTAGGCGTGGCAATATCAATGAGGCGGAGAGAGGAAAAGCGAGACCCTCAACAAATGGACAAAATGAAAGACGTGGGTTGAATTTGACGTCATTAGAAAATGTTTGGGAGACAACACCAGAAGCCGAGAATGCAAATTCAGCGGCCACGAACTCAGACTCCAGGCGAAGATGCTCCACAGCATGCTGCGACGCTTTTCGGAGCAAAATACGAAATATTTGCAGTCAATACTTGTTGATTTTATATCCGCCATTGCAATGGCTTGTCCTGACATGTCTCATTTTACGAGGAGGTGTTTGTCTACTGCGTTTAATACAGTATCGTATACTTTCAGGCTCCTCAGTGGCAAAACCAAACGGTAGCATTGATATTCTTTCTATTTTGCTATCTGTGTGTACCCGTACGGCAGTATTTGTGATGCAACAGCTTGTATGCATCGGTTGGGGTTGTGCATACGAGCGACCGCCGACGATAAAGATTGTGACGGTTTCATTGGTATCCATTACTACCTTCTTTGCCTATGTATTTCAAGGCACCTGTGATGAGGACAGTATTCCAACAAAGTTTACTGCTTCTGATGGACACAGACAATTCACGACCGCTCGATGTGTGAAGATTCAGACGATTGCTATAGCCTGTGAAATGTTGGGTTGGCTGATAAATCTTTTTCAGCTTACAACAGTTATGGCAACCATTGGCCGTGCTGCTGCAACAGGGTCAAAACAAGGAAGGCTCACCACATCAGAGAGCCAGACATCACTTTATCTGCGTTACCGTGGAATGTGTGTACCTTATGCGTTGGGTATTATTGTGCCGCAAATACTTTTTGTTGCCTTCTCCAACACCCTCATGCGTGTGGAGGACTATTACGTTGAGGTGGCACTTAATGAATTCTCGCAGTGGTACGCACTGGCCTTTGTCTTGCTATTCTTACGAAAGGAGCCTTTGTACATTTGAACAATTAACAAAAAAAAAAAAAAAGCGAACCGAGAGGGAACTCAAAAAAAGATTAAAACCTAAAATGGTAAAGAAAAAAAAAAAAACAGTGGGAGTACTTCATGCATACGTGTATTGGTCCGCAGTAGCCAATGCAGTTTTCATTTTAGCTTTTTTTCTTCTTTTGTGTCTGTGTGTGTCCCGGTTTTTCTTTTTTTTTTGTTCCGCGTTATTCAATGCCTTTGCTGGTTGGTTGATTTAACTCCGCGTGAGTCTTTTGGTGCGTTTGCGGGTGCGTTTTTCATGGATACTTGATCTACCATTGCGTTTTGCATGTTCTGCTCAAAAGACAAAATATCGGTGTCCCTTCCCTACTGTGCTCCCATCGAAGGAAAACACAATTGCCCAGAAAGTCATATCTAAACAAAGAAACCGAAAAGCAGCAGGGAAAAATTTGGATTGCAATCATTGATTTACTGAGACTGCCCTCACGTGTGAAATGCAGGTTGAGGTTCCAAGCTACGGCCCTGCGGATGTGCTTCGTGTTACCTCTTCCTGTGGTTGCGATCCCGAAACCATTTTGCTTGGAGACGACGAGGTGCTTGTACACAACAGCTACGCGGGCGTTAATTTTGTTGACACTTACTTCCGCTCAGGTCTTTACAAAAAGCCCAATCTGCCGTTTGTTCCAGGCGAGGAGGGCGTGGGGACTGTTGTGAAGAAAGGGGCAAACGTGGTGTCACCTAACATTGGTCAGCGCGTGGCGTACTTTGGCAATGTCACTGGCTCCTACGCGACGTATTGTGTTGTAAAGATGGCCAATGCGAATTTGGTGCCGGATGGCGTAGAAGACAAGGCAGCTGCGGCGCTTCTTTGCCAAGGATTGACAGCGCACTACCTGACGCACGACAGCTACCCCTGTGGACCTGAATCACGAGTCCTCGTCCACGCTGCTGCGGGTGGTACGGGACTGCTTGTGTGCCAAATGGCAAAACTTCGTGGTGCGTTTGTTGTTGGTGTCTGTGGCGGTGAAAAGAAGGCAGAACTCGCACGCACCGTTGGCCATGCAGATCATGTTGTGGATTATCTGGCCTCTCCAGACTGGACGTTAGAGGTGCGTAGGTTGGTGCCTGGCGGCTTTGATGCCGTCTACGATGGCGTGGGAAAGTCAACGTTTGAGGGAAGCCTCTCTGTGCTGCGTCCACGTGGATTTATGATTTCATTTGGTAATGCAAGTGGTGCTGTGGACGCGGTGTCCCCGCTACGTCTTAAGGACGCTGGAAGTGTGTACTTACAGCGACCATTCCTTGCCGATTACATTCGGGATCCTGAAGAAAAGGCACGACGCTTTGCAGATATTTGGAACTGGTTCACTTCCAAGAAAATTCAGGTGACGTACAGCCGAGAGTTCTCCCTCGCAGATGCTGCGGAAGCGCACCGCTACTTGGAGAATCGCATGTCCACAGGCAAAGTTCTGCTTTATTGCAACTCCAAGGCAAATTGATCTGGAGAACAGTTTATTTAAAACGCAATATTATCAATATGAATTTGATCTTTACTACCCATTCAAAGGCCAATAGGTGAATTTAAATATCTTGTTATTGATACATGGCTATTGGTAATTATCATTATTATTATTTTTTTTTCTTTTTTTTTTGGCGGGGCTATCAGGGGAAAACACGGTTTGTGGCAGAGCTGTAGAGGGAGGTGGTGGCGGGAGAAGGGAGTGGGTTCCATAATTGACCAGGCCACAAATAATCAAAAAATGAAGTAAATTTAAGGGGGGGGGGGTAACAGAAATCGGGTCTTGGTCAGGGAAGTCCTATTTTTCATTCGGTTGTGTTTGTGTGTGTACCCTCTTTTCTTTTCTTTTTTTTCTTGCAACATGTCCCTATCTTTCAAGGGTGTTTTGAAGCATCATTTAAAAATCACCACAACGAAGAAAAAAAGGAAAGGAGAGAGAGAGAAGGAGCAAAGCCAAGGCGTATCTCTCCAAGAAAGTAAAAACTGTCTACATATACATATAATTATATATATATCCCTGCAGCGGAGGCTTTTCCACGACGACATACCACAACCACATCTGTAGTGAGAAGAAACCGCATGTCTCAGAGGAAATTGAAAGGGGCAAGATCTGCATCCGCCTCTCCTGTCACAGCGGATACTGCGGATGGCTGGGTGATTGTGGGAGACTCGGAAAAACTATTCCCAACACCGGCAGCGAGTGGGGACTTCAGCTCTGCACGGGATACAAAAAATCGATGCGCGGAGGGAAAAAGAATCCATTTGCAAAGTACCGAACAGGCGGTCAACACACCGATAACCCGAACCGATAATTCCGCACATGTTAGTTCTTTTCGAAATTTGAATGTGCAATGGAACGAAGCCCACAGTACTTCGAGTCTTTTTAGTGATGAACATTCAGTGAACTGCGATTTCTTGTTGCGTGACAGGACACGTTCGAGTACCACTGCCGCGGAGGAAATACTTAGCCAACAGTTTGAAGACAATGTCTACTTGTCGATTCCATCTCCGGTGCCCACCCCTGCCACTCCATCCAAGGGGGGAACACTTTCCCCCACAGCTGATGCGAGGAACGGGAGTAATGATAACTCAACGTCTGTTGGCTCATTTTTAACTTTTTTTTCCAATGGTGGGCAGGTGCAATCTTATG